TTGCCATTACAATTAATGTTAAGCTTTTTCAATGTTAACCTTGCATTCTTTGAAAGAATACCCCTCTGTGCATATGGAGCATCGCGGTGAATTTTTACAAAACTTTGCAAATTATAGTATAAAACTATTTAAAATAATTAAAAGAAGATTGTCCACTTAGTATGGGGACTTTGGCCTGACGTGAACAGCCATTTTATCATATTTTTTGTAATTAGTTTAAAAGCACTAACTAGTAACAATGAGAATATGAACTTAATTTTGTATCAAAATGTTTAAAAAGAGATTTTTGTCATGTGAGGAAAAACAGGTTAAAGCAAAATAAAACAACATTTTTATGATTTATTTTTATTCTGAGACATCATATGTTATTAATATGTGTTCAAGAAATTGGACAGGTGGTGAAATGTGTTCCTGATACCTTGCCCAACTTAAAAACCATAAAATAGTCATTATATGAGTGCAGCAACCCACTGTCCTTCGACCAACCATACAATTACAATAATATTCTTTTATAGCTTCCTTACCATTGTGATTATTATCATATAATATATACAGGGTGACTGGTGAATTACTATCAATATTTAAAGAGCATACTCAGTACATGATTCTCATTCGAATTATGTAAAAAAATAGGTACTTAATTTTTGACCAAATTTCCGTATAAATAAATAAAGTGTGTACACGTTCCAAGTGTTCCAAGTGTGGACGCGTGCGGCGGCGTGCTGATACAACAACACGCCGCCGCACGTGTGTGTGTGTGTATACCTAATCTGTAGGGTGTTCATACGATGCGTAATTATTTACATAACTTTTGGTTGACTTTACTTAGAAGTTTATTAATATTTATGTTATATTAATTTTTATTTTGTCATATATGATCGTCAAATATCACGTCCTCAAATATCGATAGTAATTCACCAGTCACCCTGTATATATAAAATATATTTTTTGACTTACATGCCTGCTTTGCATTTTTCCATGCAATAATCTGCAGTTGGCCAAAGGAATCAGGTAGTCAACTAATAGGTCCCTGGCTATATTTCTACATTTTTCTAAAGTATAGGAACCTTCGCCTCTTATGTGCTGCCCATAATACAAACAAGCTTGTTTTAGTTGGTATGTTCCACATGCAATTAATATAAGATCATTATATTCTATTCTTGGAAATATGAAACTATACATGTTTACATTTATAGGTTGAAAATCTGCCCGCCTTCTATTTAAATTATTTTCGATAACAAAGTCAGCTAATGTGTTAGGAGTAAACATCTTTTCATTTATTATAATACAACAGTATTTATATACTTAATCCTTATGGATTATAATTATATAAAACAATAAAACCTCATTTTGCATTATAGGAATAGCATATACAATACATATCTATTAAAAAACGAGTAATTTAAATAATTAATTAAATTGACACTTACTCGTCGAGGAGCTATCCACTGTCTTATAATGACTGAACCTAATTAAGATCTAGACTATGTCGCCTTCTCTCTATCAAATCACTTCCACAGTTTATGCATCTCAGAGATTCGGATTGGTAAGAAGTCACTTCTTCTGTGTGCAGACTATCATGAGACACGCTTTGGTTTTGTTCAATGTCCATATTAAAGCCGTGGTTAGCGATGGAGCTAGTTTCGGGGTCCATATTACGTGAGTGTTGTTCATCGTTTATGCCTTGATCAGAGTCCATAATACAAAAGCCAGGGTCATCGTTTGAGCGAAATTCGGGGTCCGTAGATGTGCAGGGGTCATTGGAAAAAGATAGGTCGGAGCCCATAATGAATAAACAATCGTTGAAAGAAAATCCATAATAAATCAACACTCTCAATGTATATAGGTAAACAAAGCGAATGTAAACAATCAGTCTGTGACATATCAATGTCAATATGTATTTTTTCGTTTTATTAGTGTTGCAATAGAAAAACATCATTAAAAAATCGATCGAAAACAAATATGATTACGTTTAACATTCTTCATATTTCGTTTATAAAATGTTTTAAATGACGAAACTAATTAAAAACAAATATTATTAATTTCTTTTTCTATTAAATACTTATAGTTGTATTAAGTACTGCGAGATCTTGCAGGTAACACAAAACGTGGATCAATAAAGCAAATCAATGAAGATACTTTAAAAATATTTTTTCAATAAAATACAAATGTACACTCCAACAACAATAGAATGGCTAGCTAAAAAAATATTTTTTTTTTCATAAACTTGTTTTTTGATAGCAGCTTGTTCACGCTAGGCCAAAAATGGACATTGCCCTTTCAAAAAGCCCGTGTCAACGTTTCAATTCCCACGCTCTTTTTTTCAGCATGTAAATAAACGTCGACAATATAGAAGTAGTACAAAAATTTATATGAGTAAAAAATTTTAAGTTCATCTTCATGTTGACTGTTTTAAAATACATAACTCACAGTAATACATAATACTATTACGATAAAAGAGTTGCTAGTGAAATTCAAGTTCAGTAATTCCAACGTTCCTTAAACGCAACATTTCGCGGAATGTAAACTAATTAATCAATATTTATTAAATACTAGAAGACCTGGCGAACTTCGTATCGCCCTATAATCAAGAAATATCTATTACGTTTTTTTATTTATATTTTTGGAGTTTACTTGTAAGCCATAAATCACCGTGTTTTGAAGTTCGACAGAATGATTGTCATATTAGTTGTCAAATCTAATGTAAAAAAAAAAGTTTGTATGGGAAATAGAAAAGGGCTGTTTTTATGGTTTTCCCAGTAATGAATCAATTTTTTTCAGCTTTTATACCTTCAGCTTTTATGACTCTGGATTTACAAGAAAAATTAGTCTTCTGAGAAATCTAATATTTCTTAGAAGATAGAATTTTACTATTTTAATATGCTCACACTAAAATAAAGACATATGTGAATTGAACTTTATGCATGGCACAAAATAATTCATTCTAGAATCGACCTATCTGCCTTATTATCACTCATTCATTTTAACATCAAATTTAGATCTCAACATCCACATTTGAATACCTTCGTCCTCAGCGTTCACATTAGTAATACATCATATTATAACCCTATCATTAGACTCTGCCGTACATACAATGATTTACTTTCAAAACACAGTGACATGTTAGATATATTTGATCCCAATTTTACAAGGCTTAAAAATAGGGTAAGGCTTATTATATTGACGATTCAATGATTTACTCTCCAATGACTTTTTTTTTTCTTATGTTTATTGCCATGTAGTTGTTATTGAATTATATTTTAATTTTGACAATTTATTTATTATTATTATTTTTTAATTTAATTCTTTAATTTTATTTTATTTTTTAATAATACATACTTGTTACACAATCTTAATTGACTGTATCTGTCTCTTTTGCTCCTATTTATATTATTGTTGACTCAGTGAATGTAATTTAAACTAATTTGTAATGTCCGTTAATGTTTTTTTTGTATCAACAACTAAGTAATTGAATTTAAGTTATATGTTCCTATTTATTCATTAGTCTTAAATTGTACCTAAATAATGTAGCTCCTGACAAAAATATTGGTTTTGTAATGATTATGAAGTGTACACATGCTTGGGAATATAATCAAGCTAAATATAATTTTAGACTGTAACTCAAATGTAATCCGGATTATATTCTGTTTGTGTGCCTAAATAAATAAATAATCAGAATCCTTATCAACAACTTATAGGCAGTTTGAAGATCCTACCTAATACCTAATCCAATTCAATAACTGTATTAGTGAAGAGCTTTGGGTTTATGCTAAAAGAATATTATATATACTTAAAGAAAACATAAAATTTGGTTTGAAATGTAGTAAGAATAAAAATGATAATATTGAAGGATATGTTATAAGGAAAGATATGTTATAATGATATGTTATAATGATATAGGCAGACCCTGGCTATAGCTGGGAAATTGCCAGGTAGAAGATATGTTATAATGATATAAGGACGGGAGCAGTGATGTTAATGACAGTAAATCATATTCAGGGTTTTGTTATATTTTGTCAGGATCAGTTATATCCTGGAATTGTAGCAAACAAAAATGTATTTCACTTTCTAGTACTGTAGCTGAAAATGTGTCAAAATCAGAAGCCTGCAAAGAAGCAGTGTATTTGAGAAACTTACAAAATGAAGTGACTACTATTTATATACTATTATTTTGTACTCGTATAATGACAGTATGAGTGCTCAGAAATTATAACTGAATCCAGTATTCCATAATAAAACTAAACATATGGATGTCAGGTATCACTATTGCTGAGATATTATAAATAAAAACATTGTTAGTGTTAATTATTTGTGTATATCTGATATGCCTGCAGATTTATTTACCAAAAGCTTAAGTGTTGTAAAACATTATAAACATGTAAATGCTTTAGGAATTGTTAGAGTGTAATATATTTTAACTTTAAGTTCATGTTAAGTATTTATATAGTTTAAAATAGATCATATTTTAATGGGAAGTGTTGTGGATATCAAAATATGGATACAACTAGCCATCTTGTGGCAATCATGTCAATAAGCGTTATTGTATTTGTCTATGTTCAATAAATCATTCTTCTGTCGATCTTCAGTTGACACACGTTGTTTTATTATATATTAATTATCGTAATCTAATTCCTATTAAACAGTTTATTTATTCATAATGGTGCTGAGGGAGCAGGATGTCTTTGTCTCTACTAACGTTTACATTAAGGTCGGGTCTTGTCATATTTTCACAATAAAACTGTTAAGGTTATATTCTTACTTTCTGTTGCCCTCACACACTCATAAAAATATTTCCATCTGACTCAAACGAATATTGTAGCACACATAATTTGAACAAATGTGTAAAGTTGATATTTTTTATGATTTTTATGAAAATCTTGAAACGTTCCTTCCGCCGTATATCTTTTCAAACATGTAATAAGGGGAGAGGCACAGAACTATGAACAAGACATTCACTCTTAAAATAATCTAAAAAAAAAACGAAGACATTTCTCTTTTTTTTGACAGATGGGGATGATGGGGATGATGGGGATGATGGAGATAATGGAGATGATGGGGGTGATGGGGATGAAGGGGATGATGGGGATGATGGAGATGATGGGGATGATGGAGTGATGGGGATGATGGGGGTGATGTGGATGATGGAGATGATGGAGATGATGGGGATGATTGGGGTGATAGGGGTGAAGGGGGTGATGGAGATGATTGAGATGATGGGGGTGATGGGGATTATGGGGACGATGGGGATGATGGAGATGATAGGGATAATGGGGGTGATGGCGGTGATGGGGATGTTGGGGGTGATGGGGATAAAGGGGATGATGGGGATGATGGATATGATGGGGGTGATGGGGATGATAGGGATGATGGGGTTGATGGGGATAAAGAGGGTAATGGGGGTGATGTGGATGATGGGGATGATGGAGATGATGGAGATGATGGGGGTGATGGGGATGAAGGGGCTCATGGAGATGATGGGGATTATGGAGATGATGGAGATGATGGGGATCAAGGGGGTAATGGGGGTGATGGAGATGATGGGGATGACGGGGGTGATGGGGATGATGGGGATGATGGAGGAGATGTGGATGATTGGGGTGATGGGGATGATGGGGTTGATGATGAGGGGAATGATGTGTCTGATGAGGATGATGGGTGTGATGGAGATGATGGGATGATGGATATGATGGAGATGATGGGGATGAATGGGGAGATGGGGATAATGTGGATGATGGGGATGATGGAGATGATGGAGATGCCTGGGATGATGGGGGTGTAGGGAGGAGGGGGGAGATGTGGATGATGGGGATGATGGGGGAGATGAGGATGTGATGGAGATGATGGAAATGATTGGTGTGATGGGGATGATGGAGATGATGGGGATGAGGGGGTTGATGTGGATGATGGAGACGATGGGGATGATGTGGATGATATGGATGATGGAGATGATGAAGATGATGGGGGTGATGAGGATTGAGAGGGTGATGGAGATAATGGAGATCATGGGGATGATGGATATGATGGGGATGATGGGGGTGATTGGGGATAAAGGGGATGATGGGGGTGAGGGGGATGATGGGGGTGATGGAGATGATGGAGATAATGGGGATGAAGGGGGAAATGGGGATGATGGCGATGATGGGTGTGATGGGGATGATGGAGATGATGGGGATGATGTGGATGATGGGGATGATGGAGATGATGGAGATGATGGGGGTGATGGGGATGAAGAGGGTAATGGAGATGATGGAGATGATGGGGATGATGGAGTGATGGGGATGATGGGGGTGATGTGGATGATGGAGATGATGGAGATGATGGGGATGATTGGGGTGATGGGGGATGGGGGTGAAGGGGGTGATGGAGATGATTGAGGTGATGGGGGTGATGGGGATTATGGGGACGATGGGGATGATGGAGATGATAGGGATAATGGGGGTGATGGCGGTGATGGGGATGTTGGGGGTGATGGGGATAAAGGGGATGATGGGGATGATGGATATGATGGGGGTGATGGGGATGATAGGGATGATGGGGTTGATGGGGATAAAGAGGGTAATGGGGGTGATGTGGATGATGGGGATGATGGAGATGATGGAGATGATGGGGGTGATGGGGATGAAGGGGCTCATGGAGATGATGGGGATTATGGAGATGATGGAGATGATGGGGATGAAGGGGGTAATGGGGGTGATGGAGATGATGGGGATGACGGGGGTGATGGGGATGATGGGGATGATGGAGGAGATGTGGATGATTGGGGTGATGGGGATGATGGGGTTGATGATGAGGGGAATGATGTGTCTGATGAGGATGATGGGTGTGATGGAGATGATGGGATGATGGATATGATGGAGATGATGGGGATGAATGGGGAGATGGGGATAATGTGGATGATGGAGATGATGGGGATGATGGAGATGATGGAGATGCCTGGGATGATGGGGATGTAGGGAGGAGGGGGGTGATGTGGATGATGGGGATGATGGGGGAGATGAGGATGTGATGGAGATGATGGAAATGATTGGTGTGATGGGGATGATGGAGATGATGGAGTTGATGGAGATGATGGGGATGATGGGGATGATGGGGATGACGGGGGTGATGGGGATGATGGAGCTGATGAAGATGATAGGGATAATGGGGATGATGGCGGTGATGGGGATGTTGGGGGTGATGGGGATAAAGGGGATGATGGATATGATGGGGGTGATGGGGATGATAGGGATAAAGAGGGTTATGGGGGTGATGTGGATGATGGGGTTGATGGGGATAAAGAGGGTTATGTGGGTGATGTGGATGATGTGGATGATGGGGATGATGGAGATGATGGAGATGATGGGGGTGATGGGGATGAAGGGGCTCATGGAGATGATGGAGATGATGGAGATGAAAGGGATGATGGGAATGATGGGGATAAAGAGGGTTATGGGGGCGATGTGGATGATGGGGATGATGGGGATAAAGAAGGTTATGTGGGTGATGTGGATGATGGGGATGATGGAGATGATGTAGATGATGGGGGTGATGGGGATGTGATGGAGATGATGGAAATGATTGGTGTGATGGGGATGATGGAGATGATGGAGATGATGGGCACGATGGGGGTGATGTGGATGATAGAGACGATGTGGATGATGTGGATGATGTGGATGATGGAGATGATGAAGATGATGGGGGTGATGGCGATGATGGAGATGATGGGGGTGATGAGGATTGAGAGGGTGATGGAGATAATGGAGATCATGGGGATGATGGATATGATGGGGATGATGGGGGTGATGGGGATGAAGGGGGTGATGGAGATGATGGAGGTGATGGGGATGACGTGGATGAAGGGGGTGATGGGGATGATGGAGATGATGGGGATGAAGGGGGTTAGGGGATGATGGGGTCGATAAGGATGTTGGGGGTGATTGGGATAAAGCGTGTGATGGGGATGATGTGGATGATGTGGATGATGGAGACGATGGGGATGATGTGGATGATGTGGATGATGGAGATGATGAAGATGATGGGGGTGATGGCGATGATGGAGATGATGGGGGTGATGAGGATTGAGAGGGTGATGGAGATAATGGAGATCATGGGGATGATGGATATGATGGGGATGAAGGGGGTGAGGGGATGATGGGGGTGATAAGGATGTTGGGGGTGATTGGGATAAAGCGTTTGATGGGGATGATGTGGATGATGTGGATGATGGAGATGATAAAGATGATGGGGATGATGGGTGTGATGGAGATGATGGGGATGAGGGGGGTGATGTGGATGATGGAGACGATGGGGATGATGTGGATGATGTGGATGATGTGGATGATGGAGATGATGAAGATGATGGGGGTGATGGCGATGATGGAGATGATGGGGGTGATGAGGATTGAGAGGGTGATGGAGATAATGGAGATCATGGGGATGATGGATATGATGGATGGGGGATGATGGGGGTGATGGGGATGAAGGGGGTGATGGAGATGATGGAGGTGATGGGGATGACGTGGATGACGGGGGTGATGGGGATGATGGAGATGATGGGAATGAAGGGGGTGATAGGGCTGATGGGGATGTGGAGATGATGGTGATGAAGGGGGTGATGGGGATGATGGTTGTAATGGGGATTATGGAAATGATGGAGATGATGGATTTGATGGGGATGATGATGATGATGGAGATGATGGAGATGATAGGGGTGATGGGGATGAAGGGGCTGATGGAGATGATGGAGATGATGGGGGTGATGGGGATGAAGAGGGTGATGGAGATGATGGAGATGATGGGGATGATTGGGGTGATGGGGGTGAAGGGGGTGATGGAGATGATGGAGATTATGGGGGTGATGGGGATTATGGGGATGATGGAGTTGATGGAGATGATGGAGATGATAGGGATGATGGGGATGATGGGGGTGATGGGGATGAAGGGGGTGAAGGAGATGATGGGTGTGATGGGGATGATGGAGATGATGAAGATGATGGAGATGATAGGGATGATGGGGATGATGGGGGTGATGGGGATGAAGGGGGTGATGGGGATGATGGGTGTGATGGAGATGATGAAGATGCTTGGGATAATGGGGGTGTAGTGAAGATGGGGGTCATGTGGATGATGGGGATGATGGAGGAGATGTGGATGATTGGGGTGATGGGGATGATGATGATGGGGATGAGGAGAATGATGTGGATGATGAGGATGATGGGTGTGATGGGGATGATGGAGATGATGGAGATGATGGGGTGATGGGGATGATGGGGGTGATGTGAATGATGGGGATGATGGGGGTGATGTGGATGATGGAGATGATGGGGATGATGGATATGATGGAGATGATGGGGATGAATGGGGAGATGGGGATAATGTGGATGATGGAGATGATGGGGATTATGGAGATGATGGAGATGCCTGGGATGATGGGGGTGTAGGGAGGAGGGGGGTGATGTGGATGATGGGGATGATGGGGGAGATGAGGATGTGATGGAGATGATGGAAATGATTGGTGTAATGGGGATGATGGAGATGATGGAGATGATGGGGATGAGGGGGGTGATGTGGATGATGGAGACGATGTGGATGATGTGGATGATGTGGATGATGGAGATGATGAAGATGATAGGGAAGATTGGTGTGATGGGGATAAAGGGGGTAATGGGGATGAAGGGCATGATGGGGGTGATGTGGATGATGTGGATGATGGAGATGATGGGGATGATGGATATGATGGAGATGATGGGGATGAATGGGGAGATGTTGATGATATGGATGATGGAGATGATGGGGATGATGGAGATGATGGAGATGCTTGGGATGATGGGGGTGTAGGGAGGATGGGGTTAATGTGGATGATGGGGATGATGGGGGTGTAGGGAGGATGGGGGTGATGGGGATGATGGGGATGATGGGGGTGATGGGGATGATGGGTGTGATGGGGATGATGGAGATGATTGGGATGATGGGGGTGTAGGGAGGATGGGGGTGATGTGGTTGATGGGGATGATGGAGAAGATGTGGATGATTGGGGTGATGGGGATGATGGGGATGATGGGGGTGATGGATATGATGATGATGGAGATGAGGGGAATGATGTGGATGATGAGGATGATGGGTGTGATGAGATGATGGAGATGATGGGGATGAATGGTGTGATGGGGATGATGGAGATGATGGTGATGATGGGGATGATGGGGATGATGGGGATGATGGGGATGATGATGGATGGATGATGGAGATTATGGAGATGATGGGGATGATGGAGATGATGGAGATTATTGGGATGATGGGGTTGTAGGGAAGATGGGGGTGATGTGGATGATGGGGATGATGGAGGAGATGTGGCTGATTGGGGTGATGGGGATGAGGGGTTGATGATGATGGGGAAAAAAAAGGGGAATGTGTGTGTGATGAGGATGATGGGTGTGATGGGGATGATGGGGATGATGGGGGTGATGGATGATGGAGATGATGGAGATGATGGGGATGATGGGATGATGGGGATGATGATGATGATGATGATGGAGATGATGGGGATGATGGGGATGATGGGGATGATGGGATGATGGAGATGATGGTGATGATGGGATGATGAATGGGTAGATGGGGATGATGTGGATGATGGAGATGGAGATTATGGAGATGATGGGGATGATGGAGATGATGGAGATGATTGGGATGATGGGGTTGTAGGGAAGATGGGGGTGATGTGGATGATGGGGATGATGGAGGAGATGTGGCTGATTGGGGTGATGGGGATGAGGGGTTGATGATGATGGGGAAAAAAAAGGGGAATGTGTGTGTGATGAGGATGATGGGTGTGATGGGGATGATGGAGATGATGGAGATGATGGGGTGATGGGGATGATGGGGGTGATATGGATGATGGAGATGATGGAGATGATGGGGATGATGGGGATGACGGGGGTGATGGGGATGATGGAGATGATGGAGATGGTGGAGGTGATGGCATATTTGTTATATTTGGATGGCACATTTGGCATATAAATAAAATGGTATATAGGGAAAATTGGTATATAAGGAAAATTGGTATATAAAGACCTTCGATTTATAAGGAAAATTGGTATATAAGGACATTTGGTATACCTCCGTCATTTCAGTTTACTTTGAAGGTTTATTAGGTTTTTTTTTTTCAACAAATAAAAATGAAAAAACAACAATTAATTCCTTAATTAAAATAGATTCTAATTCTTAATACATTTCACAATATATAAGAAATTAAAGTTATAACTCCTACATTATATTAAGAGCAATGATTTAAAATTACATAAATTTTTTACAATTTAATGATTTTTACCGTTCTTCTAGTACACGAATTGCTCAAAATGCTGTACCAACTCTATACTTAAGTATCTAAAGTAAGCAACTTCCCAAGTAGTTATAGGTACACAATACATACTACTTATATAAAAAAAATATAAATAATCAATTATATTTTATATATATAGATAATATTTTACATTATTATTGTTTTACTTTAGAAATTGGTGCTCATAATTAAAAATTAAAAAAAAAAATGAAAAAATTGAATATAATGAAATAGGTATACAAGTCATCTTAACATTTTTATATACTTACATGGTATATAGATTTGATCGATTTATAATGTGCGGTCTTTATTACCTTTTTTATCTAAATAAAGAAAAGTGCCTACAAACAGTATCGCAATATAACTACTTGTGTCACTTCTTGACATAGGTAAAACAAGCACAAAGTGTTCTAAATATGCAAAAATTATAATTTCACTGGATAACTACAAACCAAAAAAAAGTCGTTTATAGTTTTATATGTAATATAAGAATGACAGTGTTTAATTCAGTAAAAATTACTTTTCTGCCGGAAGTCACTATAAAGTATTAATAACCCGAAAAAAAACTGATAAGGGATGAAGGGGGTGATGGGGATGATGGGGGTGATGGGGATGAAGGGGCTGATGAAGATGATTTGGATGATGGGGGTGATGAGGATGATGGGGGTGATGGGGATGAAGGGTGTGATGGGGATAATGTGGATGATGGGGATGTAGGGATGATGGGGTTCATGGGGATGATGGGAATGATGGGGGTGATGGGGTTGATTGGGATGATGGGGATTATGGGGGTGATGGGGATGAAGGGAGTGATGGAGATGATGGAGGTGATGGGGATGACGTGGATGAAGGGGGTGATGGGGATGAAGGGGCTGATGGAGATGATGGTGATGATGGGGGTGATGGGGATGATGGAGATGATGGGGGTGATGGGGTTGAAGGGGCTGATGGAGATGATGGAGATGATGGGGCTGATGGGGATGAAGGGGCTGATGGAGATGATGGAGATGACGGGAATGATGGGGGTGAGGGGGATGATGGGGGTGATGGAGATGATGGAGATGATGGAGATAATGGGGATGAGGGGGGTATTGGGGATGATGGCGATGATGGGTGTGATGGAGTTGATGGAGATGATGGGGATGATGGGGATGATGGGGATGACGGGGGTGATGGGGATGATGGAGATGATGGGATGATGGGATAATGGGGGATGATGGGGGTGATGGGGATGTTGGGGGTGATGGGGATAAAGGGGATGGGGATGGGATATGATGGGGGGTGATGGGGATGATAGGGATAAAGAGGGTTATGGGGGTGATGTGGATGATGGGGTTGATGGGGATAAAGAGGGTTATGTGGGTGATGTGGATGATGGGGATGATGGAGATGATGGAGATGATGGAGATGATGGGGGTGATGGGGATGAAGGGGCTCATGGAGATGATGGAGATGAAAGGGATGATGGGATGATGATGATGGGATATAAAGAGGGTTATGGGGGCGATGTGGATGATGGGGATGATGGGGATGATGGGGATGAGAGGGTTATGTGGGTGATGTGGATGATGGGGATGATGGAGATGATGATGGAGATGATGGGGGGGATGATGGGGATGAAGGGGCTCATGGAGATGATGATGAAATGATGGAGATGATTGGGATGATGGGGATGATGGGGGATGGAGATGATGGAGATGATGGGGATGATGGAGATGATGGAGATGATGGAGATGATGGGATGATGGGGGTGATAGGGATGATGGGGATGATGGGGGTGATGGGGATGAGTGGGTGATGGGGGTGATGGGGGTGATTGGGATGATGGGATGGGGATGATGGAGATGATGGAGATGATGGGGTGATGGGGATGATGGGGGTGATGTGGATGATGGAGATGATGGAGATGATGGGGATGATTGGGGTGATGGGGGTGAAGGGGGTGATGGAGATGATTGAGATGATGGGGGTGATGGGGATTATGGGGACGATGGGGATGATGGAGATCATGGAGATGATAGGGATAATGGGGGTGATGGCGGTGATGGGGATGTTGGGGGTGATGGGGATAAAGGGGATGATGGGGATGGAAGGGATAAAGAGGGTTATGGGGATGATAGGGATGATGGGGTTGATGGGGATAAAGAGGGTAATGGGGGTGATGTGATGTGGATGATGGGGATGATGGAGATGATGGAGATGATGGGGGTGATGGGGATGAAGGGGCTCATGGAGATGATGGGGATTATGGAGATGATGGGGATGAAGGGGGTAATGGGGGTGATGGAGATGATGGGGATGACGGGGGTGATGGGGATGATGGGGATGATGATGGGGAGATGGGGGAGATGGATGATGGGGGGTGATGGGGATGATGGGGTTGATGATGAGGGGAATGATGTGTCTGATGAGGATGATGGGTGTGATGAGGATGATGGAGATGATGGAGATGATGGGGTGATGGGGATGTTGGGGGTGATGGGGGATGGAGATGATGGAGATGATGGAGATGATTGATGGTGATGGGGATGATGGGGATGATGGGGATGATGGGGATGATGGGGATGATGGAGATGATGGAGATGGTGACGGTGATGGCATTTTTGTTATATTTGGATGGCACATTTGGCATATAAAAAAATGGTATATAGGGAAAATTGATTTATAAGGAAAATTGGTATTTAAGGACATTTGGTATACCTCCGTCATTTCAGTTTACTTTGAAGGTTTATTAGGTTTTTTTTTTTTTTTCACAAATAAAAATGAAAAAAAAACTACAATTAATTCCTTAATTAAAATATATTCTAATTCTTAATACATTTCACAATATATAAGAAATTAAAGTTATTACTCCTACATTATATTAAGAGCAATGATTTAAAATTACATAAATTTTTTACAATTTAATGATTTTTACCGTTCTTCTAGTACACGAATTGCTCAAAATGCTGTACCAACTCTATACTTAAGTATCTAAAGTAAGCAACTTCCCAAGTAGTTATAGGCACAAAATACATACTACTTATATAAAAAAAATATAAATAATCAATTATATTTTATATATATAGATAATATTTTACATTATTATTGTTTTACTTTAGAAATTGGTGCTCATAATTAAAAATTAAAAAAAAAAAATGAAAAAATTGAATATAATGAAATAGGTATACAAGTCATCTTAACATTTTTATATACTTACATGGTATATAGATTTGATCGATTTATAATGAGCGGTCTTTATTACCTTTTTTATCTAAATAAAGAAAAGTGCCTACAAACAGTATCGCAATATAACTACTTGTGTCACTTCTTGACATAGGTAAAACAAACACAAAGTGTTCTAAACATGCAGAGATTATAATTTCACTGGATAACTACAAACCAAAAAAAAGTCGTTTATTGTTTTTTATGTAATATAAGAATGACATTGTTTAAATCAGTAAAAATTACTTTTCTGCCGGAAGTCACTATTAAGTATTAATAACCCGAAAAAAACTGATAAGGGATGATAGGGGTGATAGGAATGAAGAGGGTGATGGGGATGAAGGGGGTGATGGAAATGATGGAAATGATGGGGTGATGGGGATGGAGATGATGGGGATGAAGGGGGTGGGGATGGGGATGATGGGGATGATGATGGGGATGATGGGAGGGGGTGATGGGGATGATGGGGGTGATAAGGATGTTGGGGGTGATTGGGATAAAGCGTGTGATGGGGATGGGGATGATGTGGATGATGGAGATGATGGGGATGATGGGGATGATGGGTGTGATGGAGATGATGGGGATGAGGGGGGTGATGTGGATGATGGAGACGATGGGGATGATGGGGATGATGTGGATGATGGAGATGATGAAGATGATGGGGGTGATGGCGATGATGGAGATGATGGGGGTGATGAGGATTGAGAGGGTGATGGAGATAATGGAGATCATGGGGATGATGGATATGATGTGGATGATGGGGGTGATGGGGATGAAGGGGGTGATGGAGATGATGGAGGTGATGGGGATGACGTGGATGAAGGGGGTGATGGGGATGATGGAGATGATGGGAATAAAGGGGATGATAGGGCTGATGGGGATGGGATGATGGGGATGATGGGGATGGAGATGATGGTGATGAAGGGGGTGATGGGGTGATGGTTGTAATGGGGATTATGGAAATGATGGAGATGATGGATTTGATGGGGATGATGATGATGATGGAGATGATGGAGATGATAGGGGTGATGGGGATGAAGGGGCTGATGGAGATGATGGAGATGATGGGGGTGATGGGGATGAAGAGGGTGATGGGAGATGATGGGGATGATGGGGGTGATGGGGATGATGGGGGTGATGGGGGTGATGGAGATGATGGAGATGATGGAGATTATGGGGGTGATGGGGATTATGGGGATGATGGAGTTGATGGAGATGATGGAGATGATGGGTGTGATGGGGATGATGGAGATGATGAAGATGATGGAGATGATAGGGATGATGGGGATGATGGGGTTGATGGGGATGAAGGGGGTGATGGGGATGATGGAGATGATGGAGGAGATGTGGATGATTGGGGTCATGGGGATGATGATGATGGGGATGAGGAGAATGATGTGGATGATGAGGATGATGGGTGTGATGGGGATGATGGAGATGATGGAGATGATGGAGATGATGGGGTGATGGGGATGATGGGGGTGATGTGAATGATGGGGATGATGGGGGTGATGTGGATGATGGAGATGATGGGGATGATGGATATGATGGAGATGATGGGGATGAATGGGGAGATGGGGATGATGTGGATGATGGAGATGATGGGGGAGATATGGATGTAATGGAGATGATGGAAATGATTGGTGTGATGGGGATGATGGAGATGATGGAGATGATGGGGATGAGGGGGGTGATGTGGATGATGGAGACGATGTGGATGATGTGGATGATGTGGATGATGGAGATGATGAAGATGATGGGGAAGATTGGTGTGATGGGGATAAAGGGGGTAATGGGGATGAAGGGCATGATGGGGGTGATGTGGATGATGGGGATGATGGAGATGATGGGGATGATGGGTATGATGGAGATGATGGGGATGAATGGGGAGATGGGGATGATATGGATGATGGAGATGATGGAGATGATGGGGATGATGGAGATGATGGAGATGCTTGGGATGATGGGGGTGTATTGAGGATGGGGTTAATGTGGATGATGGGGATGACGGGGGTGATAGGGATGATGGGTGTGTTGGGGGTGATGGAGATGATGGGGATGATGTGGATGATGTGGATGATGGAGATGATAAAGATGATAAAGATGATGGGGATGATGGGTGTGATGGAGATGATGGGGAAGAGGGGGATGATGTGGATGTTGGAGAAGATGTGGATGATTGGGGTGATGGGGTAGATTTGGATGATGGGGGTGATGGAGATGATGATGATGGGGATGAGGGGAATGATGTGGATGATGAGGATGATGGATGTGATGAGATGATGGAGATTGTGGGGATGAATGGTGTGATGGGGATGATGGAGATGATGGTGATGATGGGCATGAATAGGGAGATGGGGATGATGTGGATGAGGGAGATTATGGAGATGATGGGGATGATGGAGATGATGAAGATCATTGGGATGATGGGGGTGTAGGGAAGATGGGGGTGATGTGGATGATGGGGATGATGGAGGAGATGTGGATGATTGGGGTGATGGGGATGATGGGGTTGATGATGAGGGGAATGATGTGTCTGATGAGGATGATGGGTGTGATGGGGATGATGGAGATGATGGAGATGATGGGGTGATGGGGATGATGGGGGTGATGTGGATGATGGAGATGATGGAGATGATGGAGATGATTGCGATGATGGGTATGATGGTGGTGATGGGGATGATGGAGATGATGGAGATGGTGACGGTAATGGCATATTTGTTATATTTGGATGGCACATTTGGCATATAAAAACATGGTATATAGGGAAAATTGGTATATAAGGAAAATTGGTATATAAAGACCTTCGATTTATAAGGAAAATTGGTATATAAGGACATTTGGTATACCTCCGTCATTTCAGTTTACTTTGAAGGTTTATTAGGTTTTTTTTTTTCAACAAATAAAAATGAAAAAACAACAATTAATTCCTTAATTAAAATAGATTCTAATTCTTAATACATTTCACAATATATAAGAAATTAAAGTTATAACTCCTACATTATATTAAGAGCAATGATTTAAAATTACATAAAATTTTTACAATTTAATGATTTTTACCGTTCTTCTAGTACACGAATTGCTCAAAATGCTGTACCAACTCTATACTTAAGTATCTAAAGTAAGGAACTTCCCAAGTAGTTATAGGCACACAATACATACTACTAATATAAAAAAAATATAAATAATCAATTATATTTTATATATATAGATAATATTTTACATTATTATTATTTTACTTTAGAAATTGGTGCTCATAATTAAAAATTAAAAAAAAAAAATTATTAAATTGAATATAATGAAATAGGTATACAAGTCATCTTAACACTTTTATATACTGACATGGTATATAGATTTGATCGATTTATAATGTGCGGTCTTTATTACCTTTTTTATCTAAATAAAGAAAAGTGCCTACAAACAGTATCGCAATATAACTACTTGTGTCACTTCTTGACATAGGTAAAACAAACACAAAGTGTTCTAAATATCAGAGATTATAATTTCACTGGATAACTACAAACCAAAAAAAAGTCGTTTATTGTTTTTTATGTAATATAAGAATGACAGTGTTTAAATCAGTAAAAATTACTTTTCTGCCGGAAGTCACTATTAAGTATTAATAACCCGAAAAAGAACTGATAAGGGATGATAGGGGTGATGGGGATGTAGAGGGTGATGGGGATGAAGGGGGTGATGGAGATGATGGAAATGATTGGTGTGATGGGGATGATGGAGTTGATGGATATGATGGGTATGATGGGGGTGATGGGGATGAAGGGGGTGATGGAGATGATGGAGGTGATGGGGATGACGTGGATGAAGGGGGTGATGGGAATGATGGAGATGATGGGAATGAAGGGGGTGATAGGGCTGATGGGGATGTGGAGATGATGGTGATGAAGGGAGTGATGGGGATGATGGTTGTAATGGGGATTATGGAGATGATGGAGATGATGGATTTGATGGGGATGATGATGATGATGGAGATGATGGAGATGATAGGGGTGATGGCGATGATGGAGATGATGGGGGTGATGAGGATTGAGAGGGTGATGGAGATAATGAAGATCATGGGGATGATGGATATGATGGGGATGATGGGGGTAATGGGGATGACGTGGATGAAGGGGGTGACGGGAATGATGGAGATGATGGGAATGAAGGGGGTGATAGGGCTGATGGGGATGTGGAGATGATGGTGATGATGGGGATGATTGGGTTGATTGGGTTGATGGGGGTGATGGGGATGATGGGTGTGATGGAGATGATGGGGATGAGGGGGGTGATGTGGATGATGGAGACGATGGGGATGAAGGGGGTGATGGGGAAGATTGGTGTGATGGGAATGAAGGGGGTGATGGGGATGAAGGGGATGATGGGTGTGATGGAGATGATGGGGATGATGGGGGTCATGGAGATGATGGGGATGAAGGGGGTGATAGGGATTATGGGTGTGATGGGGATGATGGATATGATGGAGATGATGGGGTGATGTGGATGTTGGGGGTGATGGGGATAAAGGGGATGATGGGGATGATGGAGATGATTGGGGCGATGTGGATGACAGGGATGATGGGAATGATGGGGGTGATGGGAATGAAGGGAGTGAAGGAGATGATGGTTGTGATGGGGGTGATGAGGGTGATGGAGATGATGGAGATTATGGGGATGATGGGGATGATGGGGATGATAGGGTTGAAGGAGATGATGAGTGTGATGGGGATGATGGAGATAATGGAGATAATAGGGATGATGGTAATGATGGGGGTGACGGGGATGAAGGGTGTGAAGGAGATGATGGTTGTGATGGGGATGATGGAGATGATCGAGATGATGGAGATGATGGGGATGATGGAGATGATGGGGATATTGGGGATGATGGGGGTGATGGAGATGATGTGGATGATGGAGATGATGGTGATGAAGGGGGTGATGGGGATGATGGGTGTAATGGGGATGATGGAGATTATGGAGATGGTGACGGTGATGGTATATTTGTTATATTTGGATGGCACATGTGGTATATAAAAAAAAATTGTTATATAAGGAAAATTGGTATATAAGGACATTTGATTTATAAGGAAAATTGGTATATAAGGACATTTGGTATATCTATGTCATTTCAGTTTACTTTGAAGGTTTATTAGGTTTTTTTTTTTCAAACAAATAAAAATGAAAAAAAAACAATTAATTCCTTAATTAAAATATATTCTGATTCTTAATACATTTCACAATATATAAGAAATTAAAGTTATAACGCCTACATTATATTAAGAGCAATGATTTGAAATTATAAATTTTTTTTACAATTTAATGATTTTTACCGTTCTTCAAGTACACGACTTACTCAAAATGCTGTACAAACTCTACTCCACTTCTTTACATTGGTTAAACAAAAACAAAGTGTTCTAAATATGCATAGATTATAATTTCACTGGATAACTACAAAGCAAAAAAAGTCGTTTATAGATTTTTATGT